CCCTAAACCCTAAACTAAACCCCCCAAACAAAAAGTCGAAGGAGCATATCTCCGATGATTGCGAAACTGGCCGGCAGAAGGCCACCCACCGCGGCACCGACGGCCGCGCGGCAGAAAAGTAAAGAGCCTCGACGCGATGGCATTTTATCTGGGTTTAAGGTGTCGTGTAGTACAACGTCTGGGGTGTATAGGGGCTGTCTCACTGAATCGCATCTCACATAAACTGAAAATCTTTAGCTACGGCCCACTGCACTTTTAAAACCGCACTGCCGAAAGCGCTGAGACTCCCGTATGGCAGTATCCCTGAGGGTCCATGTACCCAAATATAATATACATTGGCCCCAAAGTACCTATATAGGGACCACTTAAAGGCCAAAGTATATCTATTTGGGTACTGTACATGGACCCTTAGGGTATAGGAACACCCCTTTCAGCCAAGGCCCAAATTACAAATTACAAATCCAGCCTAGGCCCAGCCCTCGACTTCGATCATCCGGTCAGCGCACTGCAAACCCAGCAAACATTTAAGTAAGTAAACTCGTCGTAACGATATCTCAGAAAACAACAAATGGCTCATAAACAGACGGCAACAGCAGGCATACAACCCCCCCCCAGAATCTGAGCCCAAAGCCCCAACTTTTGAAACCCTAAATCGAGGAAAACGCTAAACCCCGAACTTGTTAAAACCCTGTAACCCTTCAAAACAACCCAGCAGAACTTAACAAACAAAAACTCCGCCGAGGAGCTAAAGTTAGGGGCCCGCGAATTCGCAAGCGTTCCGCAAGCGCCGACGAGCATGCAAATGGAGACCAAGGTGGTCCTGTTTAGGGTTTAGGGTCATTGGGTTTAGGGTGATTGGGTTTGGGGTTTACCTATAGTCTCCATTGTAGTTCCTTTTTGGGGTTACCGTTTAGGATCCTTAATATAGAAATGGTTAAACCAAAAAAAGAACCACAATGGAGACTATAGGTAGGGTGCAAACGGAGACCAAGGTGATCCTGCTCCGGGGCTTACAGGCTTTTTTCATGGGGTTTGGGGTTTTTAGGGTTTGGCTTAGGGTAATTGGGCTTAGGGTTTAGGGTGCAAACGGCGACCGAGGTGGTCCTGTTCCATAAGAGTTTAGGGTTTAGGGTTTATCAGCGTTCAGGTTTTGGGGTTTAGTGTTTAGAGTAATCTATTTCATAAGTGTTTGAGTAATCCTTTACATTGGCGATACAAGGTTCTTTTCAAACAAGCTCCCATTTCAGTGGTCCCTAAACCCTAAACCCTAAACCCTAAACCCTAAGCTCCCATTTCAGTGGTTAGGGTGTGGTTCGGTTTGCGAGTATTGGGGGCTTTGATTTATGGGTCTAGCTGGGGTCTAGGGTTTGGGGCTTAGGGGTTTGGACATGGGGGTGTAGAGCGAGAGAGTTTATTAGGGGCTTCCGGCATAGAGGTTTAGGGTTTGGGGGTTTTGGGTTTCGGGGGGTTTAAGTGTTTGTGCTAATCATGCTAATCCGAAAGGAACTAGTGGAAAGCAAGGCTTACATCCGACGTCCTTCTTGCAACTTTTCACAACAGCGTTCCTACACTCCCTTGAAGGGGCACCTGTGCCAGAGCGAAGGTCAGCTGAGGGTCTCAGCCAGAGAACGACATTTCAAGAACAAATCGGGCTCTGTCTGTGGGCGGATCAACCCTGATCTGAACATTCCCACATCCCTGCAAACCACCGGTAGACCCCACGTCTTACAGACCACCAGGGACCCGAATCAAGCCGAAACGTTCGTAGAACCCAAACGCCAAACCCCAAAACACAAAAAAGTGACCGACGGTCGGTCCGCTTCATGAGATCCGCCAGCCGGCCGGCCACCAGAGAGAAGAGTGCACCGGAAGTGAAGAAGACGATGCTCACAATCCCCCCAAGCCTTGCACTTGGGCTCCAACGCTGCTTGGGGCACACGGGCTTCGGGGCCAGGGCTTTATAGTGACATATATATATATATACATATACATATACATATACATATATATATATATATATATATATCCACCCCACTGAGTCGTGCCCACGCTCAAATTTCAAATGCAAGCATCATGGCAAATCAAAACAGGAAATGCGTATCACCCCGGAGCACCCGAAGCTTGTACTGCCTCTCTCAATTCACCAAAGTTGCGACGCCGAGCGTTGAACTACATGCAGTTAGGGCCCTGGATGTTTTAGAAGGCGTCTCAGATACCAGAAATTGACAAGGGATGGGAATGCTATTGCTGCTACTAGCTCGATGCTGTTGTTTGCTGCCTGGCCACCAGCAGGCCTAACAGAACACCGGTGTGGGGCATGCGGAAGGGCATCAGACTGTGGTTTGGTGAATGTGTGTGTGTGTGTAATATAGGGGCCTTCATAATTAGAATAGGGTTTTGGGGCCCAGTATACTATAAATTATAATGAGGAACCTATCAAGGCCCCTACAGTACCACTTGGAGAGTTGCCTGGCGTGCGTTTCAGAGGACAACAACACGGCAACCCGAAAAAGAAACTACAATGGAGACTGCTCCTAGGAAGGCTCGGAGAAGTTGAAGGGTGCCACGGTGCCTCTGACGTCTTTACCCTAACCTAAGAACCCTTAAACCCTAAACCACAGAGGCCTCAAGGCAGAAACCATATCAACTCGTAAAACCCAAGACCCCGAACCACAAAATCCCCCCAACCCCTGCCTTAATAGCCTAGCTTTCTAGGGACTTGCAGAAGGAAACCATAATACAAAGGAGCCCCCCACTTAAACCCAAATTTGTGATGACTTGCATCAGGAAATTCAGAATAAGACGGTAGGTTCGTGAGGGCCCAGGTAGACCCTTCAACCCTTGGTTCAGGTAGGCCCTTATATACTAAACCTTAAACCCTAAACCCTAAAAAGTGTAGGCCCTAAACCCGTGAACTCTTGCGGCTCAGCGGCATCTCATCTCTTTCCGGGCCCTTGAAGCCAAACTCCTGCAAGCCGCTCTTTCGGGCTTATGGGGTTTATGGCTTAAAGTTTACCGGTTTTGGTGGTTCAAGGTTTCGCGTTTAGGGTTTACTTATAATCTCCATTCTAGTCTCCATTGTTGTTCCTTGTGGGGGCTACCTGAAACGATCCTGAATATGTAGAATTCGTTAAACCAAAAGAAGGAGCTACCACGGAGACTCTGGGTAGAAGACAATGGGCTTAGGGTTGGGTTTAGGCTGAGTTTTAGCGCTCAGGCTTCAGAGTTTGAGGGATGTTGGCTTCAAGCTCTGGCGTTTTGTGAACTGAGAGGATGGGCTCTTTCTTGAAAACTTCGAAGATTGTTAACTTATGAGTTTTTGAGACCCCGACTTTATCCAGAATAACTGCGAGTACTCAGTGATTTCGAACCCTGGCATTGGCACACGAATCCTGAGCGTGTAAGCCACAAACACCAAACTATCTACCCCCACAGCCCAAACCTCAAACCTTTAACCCCTGAGGCCTAAACCCTGAACAACATATCATTATACACCAACAAGAAACCCTGACGAATAGTACCACTACCCATGGGCCCCATAGTAGTTCCTGTTTGGGGCTCATATTTAGAACCCTATAAGGTACGAGTAATCCCCCAAAAGGAACTACTATGGGGCCGATGGGTAGCCAGACCGACCCCGAAACTGCTTCGCAACGAGATGGGCTCGTATCGCACGGTTATTGAAGATGCGACATCCATTTCTACACGAGCGTCTGTGACGACTCTGCCCTGGAAAGGTTCAAACGGCCGTGGTTTACACGATCACGTGCGAGGGTTCATTGCATAGGCCTACGGTATCTTGTATGCAGGGATTGGGGCGCGGCTGGTGTTCTCTTACGCAAAGACTGAGGCTTACAAACAGTTTTTCTATATGAAGGCTCAGGTTGACAGTGGTATCGCAGGGCTAGTGGATCTGACATGAGATGCCAGTTGATATTGTCTGCATCAGAAACTACAGCAAATCAACGACCACTTCTGCAGGCTTGACATCGATTCCGGCATGCAGGCTTAAAGGCTGACAAAGTCAGGATCAGGAGCGACTATGATCGTTGCATGCTACACTCGAAAGAATGCTTATGCTCGTCGTCACTTCATGCTTCGATCTCGCCAGATGCCGCTGAATGTCCGGAGTCTGCACTACGAAAGCAAACATTTATTCAAGCCCCGGGTCTCTGTCAAGACCCTAATCTACAGCAGCCCGGGGCGACATGTTCGGCGTGAGTGCGAAGCCGCAGGACCGCTAAGGCCAAAAACCTACAAAAATATCTGGTCGAGGACCTGGTGCCCGAAACCATGACTCCCAAACCAGTCAAGCCTACAACGTAGGCTCTCTTAGTCTATGACCACATGTAACCATAGGGTTGTAAACACTGCGCGGCCCAAACATCTCAGCCGGGTACCGGGCCCAAAGTATCTTTTAAAGCAAAACGTCTCCAAGACGGATTCATGCAAGTCGCATGCGCAACCGTAGACATATTCGTGGACAAGAGAGGCTGATCTGCCAGAAGCAGCATCCTGCAAATGCAGGCTTTCGAACCAGGTCTCTGATAGGGCTTGTTCGCTGTTGCGCTTCGAGCTCCTACTTCTTCCGAAAGCGAGGCAGGTGCGGATCGTGGGTTGAGGGCGGCTTGTGTCATGGGGCCGAATAGCGCTACAGGTGATGCTTGCTGTGACATCGCGATCTTAGTTGCTGAGTTCATGAGCCCCGAAAAGTTGAAGCTTTCCGGTCAAACAGAGAATTACATGATCACACAGAGTAAAGTGAAGTCATTCGGCTACTAATGCGACTGTACAGCCCCGCTGCACTAAAACAGCACTCATGAGGATTACAACAGTGGGCCTTCAAGGTGGCTTCTGAATAGTACACTGTATTCATGCGGAAGACACTAGTGGGCCTTGAAAGGCGTTTGCCATCAGGGGCTAGAGTTTCTCTGTCATCGGTCATGCAGGCTGGCTTGCGTAAGACGTTGAAATCGCTCAGGCCCAAACCCCATCTATCTGTCTATCTATCTACCTATCTATCTATATGGTCTGCTTTGTAATGCCCTTTAAGTTCGCTAAAAAGAGCCCTGAATCCTACACCCACAACTCAACCAAGTCTCTGCGCCACAGCCAAGGGGAAAAGTCGGCGATGCTGGCGAAGCTCCGACGCCAGCAGCCAGGGGAGGCGAAGGCAGAAGCAGCTGACTTCTGAGTTGCCTTGGCTTTGGAAAACCCGGGCTTAGTGGTTATTGGTTTAGGGCTCAGCGCTCGTATTTTAGAGTTTCCATAAGGGCACGTTTTTAGGGGTTTACGACTTTTTGCTTCAGGTTGCCCTTTGCTCTGAAATCAGGGGGAAGCTCGTTGAATCAGGGTTTTCATGTTCGCTGGGCAAAAAGGGTTCAGGATTCCCGCCACCCAAACCGCCCAAAAGTGACAAAATAGTGGCCCAACACCTATAAAGGCTATTCTTCTGCATACTTTTTGTTGGAGTCCAGGTAAGCCCTGGCCCCTTCAAAGAAGAAGTTCAAGATCCTGCAGCACCGCGAGCTCTGAAACGCGAAGCCCCCTAAACCCTAAATCTCAAACCCTAAACCCTAAACCCTAAATCCTGTAAGTTTAGGTCTACTTAGGGTGTAGGGTTTACTTGAAAAATCGTTAAGCCCTATAAGCTACACACCGTAATCCCCAAATCCTACACCCCAAGCCTCAGACCCGAGTCCCTCCAGGGGCTTTGGGGCCAAGGTTGGGCTTCATCATTGCGGGTTTAGGGTTTAGGAGGTTAGGGCTTCGGGGGTTTAGGGTTTAGGGTTTAGGGTTTAGGGTTTAGGGGGTTCAGGGTTTAGGGTTTCGGGTTCAGGGATAGCGTCCATTCTTGAGGGATTTTCTGAATTTCTATAATGAAACCCGAGTCCTTTTGCCCCTGAGATGGGAGCGGCGTTTGGGATTCCATGTTCGCTCGGGGTTGCGGGGATGTGATGTACATGGATTTGGCCTTTGGCTTTAGATGTTGGGTCCTTCGTTTTAGGAATGCGGTTTGGCATCGGGGTCATCGTATCCAAGGTTTGGTTTGGGTATTCGGGCTTGTTTGCGGAGAAGGCCACGACGACTGAACACTTGGAAAGGGTACTCAAACATCCATATCTCATGAGCTTGTTTCAGAATCCGACTCCCTCAACAGTGTACAGTAGGCATCCATCCCAAGCTTAGGTCCCAAAGCACGTAAACATCATGCACTTGGGTTTGAGATGATAAAAATTGAGGATTTAGGGTTTAGGGTTTAGGGTTTAGGATCAGCATTTGGGGAGGAAAGGATAATACTGCGCATTTGGATCCTTTCCTCTAGTCTCCAATGTAATCCTAAATGCAAACATGGCTAAGCCAGCAAAGGAATTACGATCCCTAAACCCCGAACCCTAAACCCTCAGGTAGGGCAGCAAGATTCGAAAGCCTGCTAACATAGGGGCCGCACTGATTGGAACAGGTTTTGGGGTAGACCATACACTGCTATAGTATAGTTGTACTCAGGAACCCCAAGGATTTAGTTCGGTAATTATTCTAGGCTTCTGTATTCACAAACCCTACCTGTAGTCTCCATTGTAGTTCCTTTTTTGGGTTTAACTAATAATATATTAAGGATTTTATAAGGCATCTCCAAAAAGAACTACAATGGAGACTACAGGTAAACCCTAAACCCCAAAGCCTAAACCCACCCAAACCTTAAATCCTAAACCCTAAACACCCTAAAAACCCTACAAACCCTAAACCCCAAAGTCTAAACCCCAAGAATACCAGCCAAAGTTGCCGTGCGGACCTCCATGCATCTCCTCGGCCTCTGACTTGCATCGGTCGTCCTTGTCTTCTGGGCTTAAAGGTTTGCGTTGTGATTAGGGTTTTTTAGGGGGGGTTTAGGGTTTAGGGTTTAAGGTTTTGGGTTTAAGGCTTGAGGTTTCCGTTTCGAATAGGGTTGAGGGTGAGGTTGTACAGTGTTTTTCTGTTGAGATCCTTTTCGCCCCAGGAGTGCGCAGGTTCCAGAGCTTAGGGTTCGAGCTTAGCTATGCATGGCTGAGCAGTGGCGCCTGAAACGCGGCCTTCACCGGAAAAATCTCTGGACCAACTTTGATCAGGACATAGGACATACCCCCCCCCCAACTCCTTAGCCCTATAAGGGAACTCCAAGTCGTCAAAGGGATTAAGGCCTCGGGGCTTTTGTATTAGGGTCTATAGGGCCTACTCTAAGCTCTCCAACAAAAAAGCGTGTCAGCCTTAAGAAAATGAATGCCGAACGGTCCTCACATGAAGGCGACCCCTGAAAATTCTGGGGAGCCCACCGAACGTCTTGGTGACTTAATACCCATAGGCCCCATAGTAGTTCCTTTTGGCATTACCTTATAGGATTCTGAATATGAACCCCGAAAAGGAACTACTATGGGGCCTATGGGTAAACTCACTCCCCGAACCCATGCCAAAATTATCTGTCACGGTGTCATCTGCAAGGGCTCTACTAAGTTTCAACGCCTACGTACTTCGCGGGCTTAGTCCAGTCTTCATGGCTGTTAGACAAAAAGGCACTTTCAAGCCCTAAACCCTAAACCCCTAAACCCCTAAACCCTAAACCCTCTGAACACATCCCAGCATCATCCGATCTATGCGCCTGACCAGCTTCCAGCTTAGAAGGAAGCTCTACGGTCATGCACGAAACGTGCCAACAGACCCGCCGTTGCACGTAGGCATCCGCGTGTCACGCGTCTACGACTACAATTCTGATCCAAAGAAGCTGCGCCCAGTTTCCTTTCGAGGGTTCGAGGGTCCGGGTTTTACAGCTATTGAACCCTAAACCCTAAACCCTAAACCCTAAACCCTAAACCCGGTTTACAACCCGGAAAGATGAATGATCAACCATCGTCTGTAGCAGTCAGAAGCTCTAATTACCCATCACTCCCGAAACTGAAACCCTCCAAAGCCCATAACTGCCTATAACCCTAGCTATATAGTCTCCTCTGTAGTTCTCTTGTCGGGGGGGGGTTACCTTATAGACATAGGTCGCAAGTATAAGACTGGTTCGACAAGAAATGGAAACTGCAATATGGAGACCGTGGGCAAGCCGCAAAATCTCAAGCAAAAGCGGTAGCAAGGTGCCTGCAACGTTGCCCAAACAGTAGAAGAACAGCGCCTGACTAAGACAATAACTACGATCAACGCTATACGCAAGTTCTTACCCTGAACAGCGATGCTCCACTAGCAACTCAGCGATTTCGGGGCCGAACATGTCGGGCGTGGCGGGAGCTAAATCTATCACGCAGGTCGGTGAATGCGCGCAAAAGACGAACACATGCAACTGTGTCAATCATGTACTTTCATGTCTGGATGCAGATGTATATGTAAAGGTGTTTGTATATGTACATGCTTATGAATATGCACATGTACATGTACATGTAGGTCTATATCTAGATGTAAACCTGCATATGAGTACGTGTGGGTGCGTGTATAGATAGATAGATAGATAGATAGATAGATAGATAGATAGAGATAGAGATAGATAGAGATAGATATAGATATAGATATAGATATAGATATAGATATAGATATAGATATAGATATAGATAGATAGATACATAGATAGATAGATAGATAGACAGATAGATAGATAGATAGATAGATAGATAGAAAATTCGATAGACATAGATCGTGAGATAGGCAGGTAGATGGAGAGATAGATAGATAGATAGAAGGATAAATAAGAATATAGATAGATCAATCGACGGATAGTTCGGTAGCTAGATCGATAGATAGATCGGTAGATAGATCGATAGATCGGTTAGGTGGATAGATAGGTAGATAGCTAGCTAGATAGATAAAAAGATAGATAGGGAGCACAAGATATACCTGCGATACACTGTTCTAGACACTGTGCACGGTATGTGTGTGTGTATATATATATATATATACAGTACAGACAGGCAGACAAACCAAAACAAACACACACACACACACACGAACATGTACACACACACACACACATGATATTACATACAATGCATGCTCATACGCAGAGTACGTGCACAAAACACATACAATATCTACAGTGCGTGCTTTATGAGCGAAAGGCACACCATGGACTGGTCGATTGAGTCCGCAAAACCCAATCCCTACCTACACCCCTCAAGTACCTGCACTTTAGCCCATGATGACCCTTTCGATACGCATAGGCCCCATAGTAGTTCCTTTTTGGGATTGCCTTATAGGATTCTAAAAATGAACCCCCAAAAGGAACTACCATGGGGCCTATGGGCCTATGGGTAAGAAATATGAGATCCTTGCAACCCAGACCCCCGGGAGGATCTAGAAAGTAGAACCCCTAATTTGGGATCCTATACTACTAAAGACTCTTTATAGGAACCCCCATTAAGGGATCTACTTTTTGGATCCTCCCGCGGGGGTCTGGGAAAAGGGCACCAGAGTCTGGAGGGGCCTGAACCCTCAACTCTAAATCCTAAGCCCTATACACCAAGCACTCCATCCCAAACCTGCCTTACTAATATAGGGGCCTTAATCATGAGAATAGGGTTTTTGGTGCCCATTAGAGTATAGTTAAGATAAGGAACCCCCAAAATAGTATAGTTAAAATAAGGAGCCCCCAAACTAGTACAATTAAAATAAGGACCACCCCCCTCCCCCCTCCCAAAAAAGAAGAGTATGATTTATTATTTGGGCCCCTTTTATTACCCTAAACCCCTACTGCAGCCCTGAGATCCGACCAGGCCTGCGGAGTGCTTCCACCTTAGGCAGAGCGACTGAGTGTAGCCCTACCCTAAACTACCAGACCCTACCTTTCTTTGTAGGTTCTGATTATAAACCATAACATGGAATTTATAGGGACCCTACAAGAAAGTAGGTTTTGGTAGGTTAAGGTACTTTCAACTTGTCCAGTATCTGGGAAGGACTACGGGTTCACCTTCCTAAACCCTAAACCCTAAACCCTACAACCTAAGGTTTACCTTCGGGAGTATATTGGCATATCCACTCCCTAGGCCCTAACCCTGAAAACTCTCTGCACCAGAGCCTGGCATCGCACTCCACCCCACTCTCAGTTCATGCGCGGCGGTAGCAAGATCAACGCTAGGATGCACTTTCCTATCATGATGTGGTTATTATCGCCTCTCTTTAGAAAGGTCATCCACACAACAAAACGCAGGTTATACAAAATCCTGATATCCCAA